GACCTCACAAGCCTTTTACGCTACGGAAAATAAAGTTTCCAGGTGCGGTTCGATTAGATTTAAATGAGAAATAACATTGAAAAATTCGTTCCTTGCCTTTGGGGCCTCACATCACGTGTACCTATAACTTCGTAACCGTACAAGTAACTAACCGATCACAGCCTTCCATCATGTAAATGTATTTAAATTCATTATTTGAGGTGAAACCTAAATTTCCAAGGAAATGAAGCACAAATCAGCGTGCGTTTTGTGGACAAGATGCCAGCATATGAAATGATTGTTAGTAGTGTCACCACCATCAGTCTTCACTGTAACATTTCATCAAGTTTGAAGCAATTCAATATGAATAGCAAAAAAACACTGAGTTCAAGACGATGATTACACGAGTATAGGTTGTCCAGGTAGATGTTGATTTGAAACCCCTCATTAACACAACAAACATGGCTAACTGTTTATGGGTGCAATGGAATTTGGGCAACGTAGGACGCTGGAAAGAATGGTCAGTACGGACATTATATAATAATATTACTGGTCTACACACGCAGCAGACTTCACACTTTAACCATCATGAGAGCAGGAGTTAGGTAAACTAGATAAAACCAATTAGAAAATTTCACAGTTACCATAATAACAGAATAATTAACACAGGATAATAGTTTCTCACACAACAACGAAATGAACCAAAAAGATGGCCCTCTGAATGCCATAGACTTACTGGTATCTCAGAATATTTCAGAAGATATGAAGGGAGATCGGCATCATTCTGACCAGTCGATCTGCCTCTATTACAACGGGGCCAAGTTCCTCGTTTCACATTGATACACAATTATAATAACAACCTGCATTGATTTATAGAGCTGTTTGTAGAGGAAAAACAAAACATACTGGTAGGTTATATAGCTGAGAACGGCGAATGGAATATTCTCGATACCAGAAGTTGTATGTTTTGCATGGCAATTACGGTATTCAGAAAATATAATCTACCAATCTGTACTACTTCAATGTAATAATTAGGTAAGGATAATTTTGATGCACTGTTTTTCACAAATTAGACTTACAAACAGTGACTTGCGTTTAACGAATGTACAAACAAACACGGCGAGAAAAAAACTGTTAGCCTGCTGAATAATAATACTGAAGCCTCGACGCATCTTAGTTACATAGATGCAAACTACTACCAGGAAACAATGATTCAAACATTAAATTGATTAAATATTGTCACTATCCTGAGCGCTCATTCATGCCAGGGATAAATCATGGCAAATGCTGTTCCACGAAGCCTAACAATAATGCAAGTGTGCACTGTCAAAGTGATTAGTTGATTGGGGAGATGGCCACTATATATGTAACAGATGCGTCCACGAATAATAAAGTCAATAATAACAGCGAGTCCACGAAACAGATCGGGTAAGTAAGGGATAATAGGAAGTTATCTCCTCTATATTCTACATATCAAGTCATGTTCATTCAACAATACATACATTAGTAGAGCTCAATCAGGACTGAATTCAGAACTCTTTTTCTTGGTCATTGTTGCTCAAAGAATAAAGCGTTAGAATCACAAAAATGTACATGCCTGTTCAGTATCTATACAGCATCACTATTTACAATCACTTTTTACACGGTTAAACCATGAATATTTTTTAATGAATTTCTACAACAATGGAAAAGCGAGACGGAAACCCCCGATGAGAAGACTGATTTATACTAAAGAACAAGTCTTGGATGTGTGCGATCGAGTAAACTCGCAAAAGTGTCAGCGCGAACAGACGATACTCAATTGAAACAAAAGCGTTCAAAAAATTCCAGAATAAGAGCGTCTCTAATATAGTAGCGGTTGTATGTAAATAAGTTTATCACGTCGCAGCAGAACAGGGTGCATAATATCAAAGCGCAATAACAAACGTTTCAATTGAAAAAAAATGGGGCATTTAAAAAGTTAACGATCACAGAACCGGAATGAGATTATGAAGAAATCATAACAAACTCTGAAACTCATAATAATTTTTTGCATTAACAAAAAATGAGAAAAATTTTTTAAGCCTTCAATGGCTCGTCAAGACTGTTTCAGTTTGCAGTGTATTAGAGAATTGATATATGAAAAGACTTCACCAAACATTACCGTGTTCTGAGGTCTGATCGGCTGAAATTACTTGCGACCGAATTTAACATATATAATTCTAAAAACGACGAAAACATTTGGAAAAATTACCGTGTCGTAAGAATAAGAACCAGATTTACAATAATCTACCTTATCAGCTCTAGAACCCGTTTCAGAAGGTGCATTTAGAAAAGAGAATGAAATATTGACCAGAAGCAGATAACGAAGACAAGTGTGGACATTGGGACACTGAGGCATGGTGCTCGGTACATCACTTTCTACTGAAATGATTCATGTCTTGGATTAAGAGTATGTACTACATTCTACGCCTTCGTTTACGGTCAACCAATGAACTATTGACGTATTAATGTTCAGAGGACGCATTTAGACTAACATCTAGGAAGATACAATGCAGTTATTGTTTCAAGTGCTTTATAAACAAAATGGTTATGTATCTATTACTCTACAGTATGGAATTAAACAGGGATTCACTTACGAACAGAACATCCTACTTTCCAGGAGTAATTGGATAAATGGTGAATTGAAAGATTAAAGTCATCTAAAGACCAAAGCGCGTTCTGTTTTTCTGCGGCCCTGTTTATCACAAGACTATGGAAAACATTGAAACATTCAACAAAATAACCATCTATTACATCGAAAAGCACAACAATTGTGATGGCGCAATCTTGACGGAGGTTACTCGACTTTACAAGCAAAGAAACTCAACTCCATCTCATTGTCATAACTGCGAAGTTACCAAGAGAAAAGAGGCAGATTCTCGTCATGTCTGTGTATTCATCAAAAAGTTACTGCTTTAGCACACACGGGAAGTGTTTCGTTCAAAGTGACTCAGTAGTTTACTGGTTATATTCATTAATAAGCTGATATGGCATTGAGATGTAGCAAACGATCTTTGGTTGAGCCTTGGCTCCATGTGTTGTGATTGCGTCTAGTTCTGTACACACGGAACCGCCCTCTCTCTCCCACTGTCGCTGTCTGTCATCGGCATGTTTCTGCTGTTCATATCGCCATTCTCCTAAAGCCTCAAAGATTAAAAATTTAAATGGGAGAAATAATATTTGTTTCAGAATTGTTGCATTTACTTTGGACTGATCGGAGCACAAACAAACAAAACCAGATTGATAAAATTTACGTATTTTTAATTAATAAATAATGCAATAAACAGATGGAAAATGTAGTTCATTGTTCAAAAATAAAAATATATAAAACTTCAGCCAGGCGATCAATCGTTCAGAAAGTTTCGAGATATTTTTAAAAGGCGGCAAAATAAACGAAGGTTTTGTAGGAAGACGGACAATCTTGACAAGGAGAGCTAATTAAGTTACGATGAGAAGGAAACTAGCGCAGCAAACCATGCCGAGGACTCGCAGCTGCAGCGAGAAGCAAGCAGCCTTCGTACATCTAATGTGTCTGCACAGCCGGAAGATGAGTAACATTAACTTTTTTTTACACAAAATACAAAGTTTTTCGAAGAGCTAACGAGCCGCGAAGCAGATGACTGCAGTTACGCACGCCCGCAGTAATATTACTCAGAAGAAACCGACAACGGCTTTGTTTCTAAACATTTAGATTAATTTGGATTTCAAAAATACAGACATATTATTTTGATTTCCACTAAAAATGGCAAAAATAAACCAAAGCATTAATGAATTCAAATTTAAGGGCAAGTCGTAAATGCGTCATCGCGTTAAGTCGAAAGGACAGACAGCTTTCATTGCCCCGTTTAGATAACAGGGGTCAGCAAACAACGTCGCGCGAGAGGCCCGCACGCTCTATACAAGAGTGACAAACTATTGAATTGTTCATGCCTGGCTATACACTTTAAATAAATTGCCTAGAATTACTCTCGAAGTACTCTTATCAGGATTACTCATTAAGCTTTCTTCAATCAATCATTTATCGGTGAATTCTCAACCGTCGACTCTTGACAATTATTTCTTTAGATCAGAACACAGTCTATGTTCCGTTTTTTATGTAAAAAATCACAATTATAATCCCAGCAGACATGAACAATTTTAAATAAACCCAGACTTGTGAACATGATATCACTCATCACAGTAGGGCAATTTCACGAAAAACTAATTTCTATCAACGAAATTTATGCGTCAGGCCAACACAAAATTTCGCAACTACGTTAAAAAAATTTGCACTAGAGAAATGAAAATCATTCAATGGTAATCATGGAATAATCTATTCGTCATTTGTATATTTTGAACAAAATTAGAAAATTCTTACTGGTGTCCGTAGATTTTTTGACGGAAATTGCAGTGAGTTTCATTTAGATTTTGAAAATCCCCCAAAGTTATTCCTTTCTCGAAAAATTTTCACGAAACGAATCTTTGTCCAACATTACGTTACTTTAATTCGTTGAGCTGAGAATATGCACCAAGCTCAGACGAGATCAAAAACAAAATAAACTGTCGGCTTGCACGCGTCAGTTTAATTAGTACTTGAACGTTGAGTTCTTAAATCATTTATGCTACAAAATTCTTTCAAGTTTTAATGTAAAGTTGCAAGGATTTTACACCTACATATTAGTGGTAATCATTGGTCCCTACCGAGTGGAAGTCTTTCTTTCTGGCTAACCAGGTTGTGCGAGATCTACTCCTTATCACAACCTGGCTTTTTAATCATAGAATTTAAATTTGCCTTCGTTTTACGCATGAAACATGAATAATGATCAACGAGTGACGATGAAGAACATTATTTCGGCTCGAATTTGTAAAAAAGCAATACTGACTTTCTCGGAAAATACGACTTGTTTCATTTTACGGTGCAGCAAGGCATGAAAGTACAAGCGAATTTTCTTACAAGTTGCTTTGTGAAACCTCAGTCTCATCTAATAGAAAAACTAGAAGAAGAAAAGAAAAAGATCAGATTTCCGGTATAAAATCATTTAATTAGAGCTGCCTGTACAGTTATCAATGGGGAATGCAACACTGCACTCCTGACTTCCTGCTTGAGTCACGCTTGGCTTACTTAGCTTCGCAAATGAAGCTGATAACAAACTGTAGTGCCAGAGAAGAGCATATAAGCAACGTGCGGCTCTTCGATATCTTATAATGGAATAAAATAACTCTGACGAAATACACATACAAGGATGCGGGAACTACGCCAGCGATTTTGGGCACGAGTATGTGAAGAACAAGAGTCAACCGAGTTCCAGTACATGACTCAAATTCTTGTACCTCAATAGCCTTTTCTATATCACAAAATGACATTGCACAGCCCCAAGAGAGTACGCTTTAAACATCTATACGGCACATGCGCCTCATCACACTTAATTATTAACATTTTATGAGTGTCATCAACGTTCTGCCCACGGCGATCATCAAGAGGCATCGAGGCGAGTTCGAAGTTCTATAAGCAAGCGAAGGTTTTAACGACACTTACAAACTTGCAGTCAACAGCTCTGTTGCCAAACTTATCCCAGTACAGATCACTGAGATATGAAGGTTGGGAATGGCGCAGTAGACGTTTATCCTTGAACGCTTTTTAATCACAAACCAACATCTCAACTTATGCTCCTCATACCGGCGCTAACCGTGCTCTCCTATAATAAAGAGAAGTTTGTCAGAGATGAGCGCTGCAAATAACTCGTACGCCTATTAACTAGTACAACAGGTACTTTTGTACCAAGATGTATAACAATCCATAGTTATCCATACATGAACCGAACTCGGTCAATTACCGTTCTGAATTTTGCTTACGTTGTCGGCGAGCAAGCATGTGTTTCGCATTCATTCCACATAACACAGAGTAATTCAAACAACATCGCAATGCGTATAGATATTTAGGCGACAAGTTTTCATCCCACTCTTTTGCAGTCGTTTGTCCTAATAAAAGAAATTAATTTTCTGAACACGAATTAAAGCTTTTATGAACTTCAGATCCAATTCAAGAACGCAGTATCTATGGGGACCGCAGAAGATAACTGCATGCGTGAGAGTGAGATTCATTACTGTAGTCAGTGTAGTGGAAGCTTTAAACGGCGCAATGAAATTCAATATTAGAGCTTTCTGAAGAAATTTTGGATCAAGACACACAAAATAAACTTCTTAAACTCTGCGATTTAAAAAAAGTAGACTAGCAATCCCGGAGGCTTACTCAAGTCGAGAAGATGAGCTAAACGTTAACATTTTCAACCTTTATTACGCAAGGTAAAGAAGAGAAGCTATTGGCCTATAATGAGTGTATCATGCACGTGGTAGCAGAGCCAAGTTTCGGGAGGCCTTGCGGAGAAAAATAGTAGCATCGACAAAGCTCTGATTTGGCACTATGATTGTCTTCTGCATCGGCAAAAACAGGTCAACCTAACAGAACACAGATGAATTGCTGTTATTTCCCGTAAAGCTACACTAAATCAGAAAAATACTCATAATAACAGAACGAGATAAGAATTTGTAATGAGTCTCAAGAGATTTGAATAAGTGACAAGAGGAGAAATGACGCTGCGATTTAACAAGTTGAAAAACGTAATATTACGAGTAAAATTTTCTGTAGAAATGCTAGATTAAACCCAATAACTTCCATATCTTAGCAAAAAAACTAATGATAAAAGAAAAATAGAACAACTAAGACCAATGTTTATATTCAAGAAATAGAGTCAATTTATTTCCAACACCAGAACATTAAAACTATTCCTCGTCACTTATTGCTAGCCCAATTATATACAAACTTTCCAGAATATTTTCAAATAAAAATTTCTCCAGATAAAACATCGATAATTTTTAAACGAATTCAATGAATTTGATGAGAAGATACTACTTGAGTTTTTGATCACTCATAGTTTGAAGATAGTTGAGAACGCAAAAGATAAGAAATTCGTGAATAAATTGACACAGCCTCCAGCATTGCCGATGCAGTCAACATACGATAGAGATAAGCTAGGTCAAAATGGTGGCTCAACAGCATTTCCTATAAAAAGAACAAAGATATGATGCACGGACTGCATAACTGAATATCTTCAAAATAAAGAACTACACGAGTCAATGATGCGCTTTAGAAAAACTAAGAGAAAGACTAAACAATTTCATATTGACACTAAAATACCGTATGATTTTCTTGTTTCTGACAGTGAAAAATTTTGCAGAGGGTAACGAGCCGACTGTTCGCCTTATTTTTCGACGGAAATAAGAAACATTTTCAGAGCGTCTTCCTCGATATAAACGAAAATAAATAAAATTTATTTCTGTTCCACGTCTGAAAGAACAGAAATCGAGAAATGAAGTCATTGCTAGTAGACACGGCAGAATACTGCGATGCGCTACGCCTGTAATTCTATTTGAAAAACAGACGACATTAAACAAAATTCTCACGAGAAACGGTAAATATGGCGCAAGCTTAGAGGAATAATTTGCAGTGATCCGAAATAACCACAATCATTATGAAGTGGGTGAAAGATTAAGCACTGAAACCCAGTAAGGAGTCCCATCACATGGTTGTAAGTAACGGCTCGTATTGTAGCGACATTGTTAAAGGAAGCAATTACAGCAATAGCTTTGTCAACATATACGATGAGCTACCAAAACGCAGGCAGCTCTTAAAGTGGAAGAAAATAGTAAATAAAGAAGGGTATAATGATAATACAAATGAAGATCAGCTTAAATATAGTCGCTATCCTAGCATTACATAGGACGACGAATATAGACGACAAGATCACCATCCTAATCCAATAAATTAACATAGCAAAGGAAAAAGAATCACAAATACGCAGCAATCACTTCCTCATGGTGCGTCGAAAATCACATGAGCTATGCTGAAACTCAATACCATCGCATCATGTCATGTCACCGTAACATATCTTAAGTCGTGCAGCCCAAACCATCGCAATACGTCATCTCACCTTAATACATCTTTATTCATCCAGCTCCAGCAGATAATCTTTAGTTGCCAACTCCACAGGTTATCACTATCGCCAAACATTACCACTAGGATTATGTATAAAAACATTGTTTACAGACATCTTGGAAACATGTACTGAGTCAAAGTTTATACTTAACATCAGTTAGATTTTTTGACGATACCGAGAATAGGTATATCACAAGAATCCTTCACTTTCTTATCCTCATTTAATAGTCTCGTATACACCAGCTCCAACACTAGCTCAGGCTAACGCAGTCATAATAATCCTTAATCACGAACTGTATCACCAGGAATATTTTATTAAGTTATGCTTCTGCTTGATGTATTTACCGATACGTTCATAGTCAAAAACTTGTTTGAGACGAATACGGAAAACAGATTGAGATTTCCAAATTTCGGGCGTGGAATAAAAGAGGCAGCGAATCCAATTGAATGAAAAGATAACGATGTGGGATCCCAGAGAGTACATGGAAGCAATGGTTCCCACAGCATTGCAACAACAATTAATAGGACAACATGTATTCTATTCCGAAAATATACAATTAAATTAATTTAAGAGTCCCAATATGATCTCGTAATTTGCTGCTGTAAGCTCCGGCTGAAAAATTAGGTTAATAGAACATCGATCTAAAACAGTTTTCACTTAACGCAGATCATTTATGACTGAAGACGGCCTAAATTCGTTCCTTCTGACGTCAGTCTCTTTATTTCACACTTCTGTCATTCCACTGATCTACTGTTGACCAGCATTCATACTTTAAGACACTCTCGCACATCTCACCTCAAGAAAGTCACTCAATTCACACCTCAGGACAATATCTCTTTATTTTACAGAAGTAACGCCAATCACACCGAGAAAAACTCATACACCAAATCTTGAGACTATAACGAACTTTGCTCCTTCTCTCGTAGCCAGAGGCTCCTTATACTTTGACTTATATATTTCCCTCATTCTGACGCTGATCATTTCACTCACATTTCGCTCGTTCTGCCGCTAGTCACTTCACCCACAAGAAACACTCACATTTCGCTCGTTCTGCCGCTAGTCACTTCACCCACAAGAAACACTCACATTTCGCTCGTTCTGACGTTGCCAAAGAACGACTCGCACACTTCGGCGCCTGCAAGTCAATAGACATGAGTCGAAGAAGTCAACTCTTAAATGCCGGTCGTCACATCACAGGCAGCAGCACAAGATATCCTTTCACGTAGGAATTCTCGATTAGAGTTTTTGTTTTAAAATCATGAACACTATAATTGGTGCTTAAATAATTATTATCAACTATGAATATATCATTTTCCTTTCCTATTCGTAATCACACTCATTACGACACCGTGTAAGGCTTTCTTTAATACCTATACTTATCCGCGTTCAAGTAAACATAGCAACAAGTTTTGAAAGACTAATGATGAAACCTAATGGTCATATAACCTCTTTTTCAAAGCACGACGCATAAAGAGGAGCTATTGAAGAATTAGAGCTAGTGGGCTGCGCGATCCTCCTCTGTTCTTCTCTAGGGAAATCCCCATCGTGTACAGGAAGAAGTTTCGCCCTCAGCTCTTCTTCTCCACCTCGCCCCAGGCGGACGAGCTCACCATGTGTCTCATTCTCTACTAAGGGCGCTGAAGCTGGCGGTGAAGATAAACATTCTCCATCTGATGCAGAAAAAGATGAAATTGACTCGTTTGGAAGAGGGATTCTGAAATGGTCAGGATGGAGAAGGACTTCCCTGTAGGACGGGGGTGCTTCGGAAGGAACACCAAAAAGCTCGTCAGAGGCCAAACTCGCAGGGCGACTTGTTCGATTTTCTCGAGGTGAAGATATTCTCACGATGGTCCCGCAAGATACTCCTGAGATTTCGGTCCTCTGGCGATCTGACTGCAAACTACGTGAAATGCGATTCTCGAATAACGAATCAACTGTGGAAGCTGATCGCGTAGAGCGGGATTTGGCACTGCATTTGGGGACAGCGCATGGACCCAACGATCCACCCGTCAAACACAATGGAGAGTTACTTCGGTCGCTAAAAGTTTCCGGGGACTGTATTCTATTTTCCAAATCAGAAGGAGAATGTAGTAGTTGACAATCTAGTTCAGAAGGAGAATGCAGCCTCTCACCTAAATCAACCTGTGTGCCTATCCTTTCATCCAAATCTGCATGATTAGTGCTTCTTCTGCTCATGTCTTCTTGACCAGTCGGCAGCCCACAACTCACGTCGTCGAATGCTTGGAACTGGAGAGAAGAAGGTGACCGCGATAAAGATGAGGATGGAACAGATGACGTTAGTGGGTAATGTAAGCGATTATCATCAGTAAGTTGATCATACTCGTAAGGAGACACAGGTGTCTGTGAAGCAGAGGAATCTTGTTGATATTCAGCTTGGTGGTATTGAGGACGCTGATAATGCTGCTGCTGGTAATTTATTGTTTCCTGCTGCGGAGACATGATCGATGGAGCTGAAATTTCAGTACTCTGGCCCAAGGAAGAAGGATGACACGACAACAAAGTTACGTCAGCGACTGAACTAGGACCCAAAGGACACGGTAAAGGAGGAGTCAAGCCTTCAGAATTTGTAACCGAATGACTCATTAGGATAGATGAATTCTTATTCTGGACAGCAGATGGAAGCAGAGGCAAAGACGCGGAATAGCAGTGAGAATTGTCTGGAACGCCAACTACATACAGCGACCCTTTCTCCCTAGAATCAATTTTAGATCCAAAAGATTTAATGAGATTACTATTGCAACAATTATTGGCAATGCTAGTCGAGCTGCTACTACTACAATTACCTGAACTACAATTACTGTTTTTAATATTTTGTGGCGATATTTTTCTCATGCTATTTTCTTTTCTGTTTTTTGGAGAAGATTTCAAAAAATTTAATGGATTTTTAGATTTTATCGTAGGTTGAGGTGAAGAGTTTGGGTTTCTTGTGTCAGAGGAGCGGGGATCGGAAGACGATGCGCCACGGTTCTTGCAAGAGCGAGGTCGTACGGACGCTCCTGAAGGAGGCGACGCAGAAGGCATGACAGGAGCTGAGGGCGCCATGCCAGAATGTTGAAGATGATTTGGATGTGCGGGACAGAGCAGTGGTGAAGAAGATGATGTAGGTGAATAGCACATCACAGATGCGGCGTCCGGTGAGGCAACCCTCACTTGGAAAGGAATGGAAGAAGAAATGTGATGAGCTTGGCTAGGCTTGAGGTCATCCAGCGTCTTGTTTGCCGCAGGCTTAATGTACGGTCTCTGCACCTCCGAGTCCTGAAAAATACGAGGCGTTAGAAGGATAAACATATAAGCGAATACACGATGTTATTATGGGCCGTCCTTCTTAAAGCCAGAGAGCAGGGAATTAACACTTCACCAGTTTTTAGTTGATGTGAAGCTTTCTTAAATTTTAAAATTCATGTTGACTATCAGCGATCAATTTCTTGATCTTTTTACCTTCTGCAAATGATAATGTACGTTGTGATTAATTTCAGTTAGAGTAGACACACTGCAATTTAGCACATTAAAGCCAAGCAATGCAGTCTTGGTTAGTGGTTGATAGCCAGGGGTGCCAAAGTCTGGGGTAAGTATAGTGAAAGTAATCCCAAAAGTTTTCAGTTTCAGTTAAGCAGTTCAATATGATGTAATTGCCGAGGAGTTGATTTATTTGCTAACCAGTTCTAATTTTCATTGGTCATGAAGCTTTAACATTGCTGTTGGAATTTATCCATGAGTAAATAATATGCTCATAATTTAAATACGTTACAGCTGCATCTGAAAGTGTTCAATTGAGTAACACTTGCTCAGGTAAAAAGGTTTTAGGTTTTCCGTCTTAATTTTTAAATACTTATCTAGATTAAAATAAAATTTAGCCTAAAAGAGAAAAGGAACACGGGGGAGTTGAGACAATCGTTTTACTTACCATAAAAATTGTTAAAAATCTTGCATACCTACCTTCCCTCATTATTCAATAAATAAATACGATCGTTGACAACGTAGCGAGCAAAGAATGTATAAACGAATTTAAATTTCGTGCCGTGAAGCTGGCTCGTACTCCATTTTATATAGGTAGTAAAAATTGACTAGATTATTACGTTTTATGATTTAAACAATCATGAAACGCAATATGATTTAAACAATCATAAAACGCAATATGATTTAAATAATCATAAAACACAGTAATCGTGTAAATCTCTACTGCCTAAACAGAATCAAGTACGAGCCAGATTCAAAGCATGACACGGCAAATTCTTTTATACATTATTCTCTCGCTACGTTCATCTACGTCAGCCAAACGTGATAGCCAGCGATGTCTGTCTGTATCTTTCTTTCTCAGCCGCTCTATGCCTCACTCTATCAGCTGAGTTGTCTGTATCTTTATGTCAGCCGCTCTATGCCTCTCTCTATCAGACGAGTTCTCTGTTTTCTTTATGTCAGCCGCTCTATGCCTTTCTCTATCAGACGAGTTCTCTGTATCTTTATGTCTCAGCCGCTCTATGCCTCTCTTTATCTGCCGGGTTCTCTGAATCTTTATGTCTCAGCCACTCTATGCCTCGCTCTATCAGACGAGTTCTCTGTATCTTTATGTCTCAGCCGCTCTATGCCTCGCTCTATCAGACGAGTTCTCTGTATCTTTATGTCTCAGCCGCTCTATGCCTCGCTCTATCAGACGAGTTCTCTGTATCTTTATGTCTCAGCCGCTCTATGCCTCGCTCTATCAGACGAGTTCTCTGTATCTTTATGTCTCAGCTGCTCCATGCTTCTCTCTACCTGCCGGGTTCTCTGTATCTTTCTGTATTATCTGCATCTGCATCTAATACACAACGCTCCTCTGATACCTGAAATCGTGTTAATCTTTCACCTGAATTCAGTTGATCTAGAATACACAAAAACGACAGTATAAACGAATGGAAAAAAGAATCTTAGTTAAAAATAAACAATGTTTGAAATTCGTTTGAAGTAATAAATAGATCATAAGTAAAGATGAACCTTAAATATTTGGGAGGCTATTTATTTATATACATCTAAAAATCATACATATGAAAGAAGGAGGAAGCACAACCAATTCAGTTGAATGAAGGCTAATCGCACAGTCCGAAGCATTGGATGTTGACAGATCTGTTTCAAAGATGCTAATACACCAGGTTAAAAAATTTCCGAAGCGAATTGGAAAGGAATAAAAGGAATATTATTTTTGCAATGCGTTAGTAGGAAATACGAGGTATTAGATATATAAACGAGCCATTAGGAAACGGAGACTCTAAGAGACTACCTATAAAGTCAAAACGTGTTTTGAAGATATAACGAGAAGTCGGTAGGAGGATAAAAGAAGTTTCACTGCATAATCTAAATGACTTAAGAAGGTACCAGAGGCATCATGAGGATACAAGAGACGTTTGAGTCAACAGGGCTGCAGGAGTTGTTGGTAGTGTAGAAGAGGCGTAAGAAACAAAACTTCTTGGGAGGGTAAACGCGGCGTTGGCGGGGCGTTGGAAATTTTTATTCGCACTAGGCAAAGTCAGATTTAAAGTACAGGATTAAATGGTGACATGAAACGAAATTTTCTAGGCCTAAGAATATCTCAGGAATATTGAACCATAGGAGTGACCAGTGACAACCGATATAGAAGCTTAGCAGCAGTTAAGTGTAGGACGAATGCGACAGAATTGAGTTTCAGAATGACAGAACCGAGTTGCTGAGTGACAGCACCGGGTTGCTGAGTGAGCCTACTCGAAGAGGGACAGTCGAGTTTGGTTGAACGACAGAACCGAGTTGCTCAGTAACAGAACAGAACAAAGTTTCTGAGTGCCATTCGACTCGCTGAGTAACAGTCGAGTCACTGAGTAACGAAAGACTCGTGGTAATCGAGGCAAAAATATACTATTATTTGAGTTGACGCGAAATTCCTCGGAAAACTGATTCCGACACTTATCCGAATAATTTGAAAGTGCTGCACATTTTTTGTTCTCGTGGTCTTTTTGACTTGCCAGCTCACACACCGAGGCATTCATGAGAACGAGTAAAACAGCAATAACCTGACGACGTCAACGACCGAACGATGACTAGAGAGAGACAGCGAGCGCCGCCACTGATAGACAGAGGAAGACAGCACATGCGATTGTCAGACGGAGAGCCACCAACCGAGAGCGACGGAAAGAGGCAGAAAGAGAGTAAATGAGAAGCAAAGAGAGGCCGAGAGAGGCAGAGAGCGAGCCCATGTTGATTGCCAAACTGAGAGCGCGCCCTACAGAAGGTGAGAGACTGAAAAGACGATAGGTAATTTATGGAGAACGTCGCTGATAAACATACAAAGAACCCGACTGATAGGCGAAGATACAAAGAGAGCTGCTGCAACTGAGATATACAGAGAATCTAGCTGGTAGACAAAGAGAGCCATAGACCCGCTGAGATACAGGAAACAGGCTGATCGACAGAGAGAGGGATAGAGCTACTGACACAGAGAGATACATGGAACGCGGCTGATAGAGAGTGGCATAAGGCGGCTGAGACAGTACTCGGTTGACCGTGAGATTTTTGAGATGCTTAGCCGGATAGAGACCGAGATCCCAGTGAATATAACGAGAGAGGCATAAAGCGGCAGAGACAGAAAGATACAGAGACTAGGCAGATGAAGGCATGGAGCGGCTGAAACAGAAAGATACAGAGAACCCGGCAAATAGCGAGAGGCAGAGGACGGCTGAGACAGAAAGATACAGAGACCAGGCAGATAGAGGCATAGAGGGGCTGAAACAGAAATATATAAAGAACGCGGCGGATAGATAGAGGCATACGGCGACTGAGACAGAAAGATACAGAAACCAGGCAGATAGAGAGAGGCATAGAGCGGCTGAGACAGAAAGATACAGAGAATCCGGCTGATAGGAAGAGACATAGGGCGGCGGAGACAGAAAGAGACAGAGAACCCGGCGGATAGAGAGAGAGACATAGGGCGACGGAGACAGATAGATGCAGAGAACCCGGCTGATAGAGAGAGGCATGGAGCGACGGAGACAAAGACACAGAGAACCCGGCGGATAGAGAGAGGCATAGAGCGACGGAGACAGAAAGATACTGAGAACCCAGCTGATAGAGGAGGCATAAAGCGACGGAGACAGAAAGATACAGAGATCCCGGCTGATAGAGAGAGGCATAGAGCGACGGAGACAAAGACACAGAGAACCCGGCGGATAGAGAGGGGCATAGAGCGACGGAGACAAAGATGCAGAGAACCCGGCTGAGACATAGGGCGACGGAGACAGAAAGATGCAGAGAACCCGGCGGATAGAGAGAGGCATAGAGCGACGGAGACAGAAAGATACAGAGAACCCGGCGGATAGAGAGGGGCATGGAGCAGTTGGGACAGAGAGCGGCACACAGAGACACGGCGTGCAGCCGCTCCGCGCATATTGATCAAGGCAGCTCCGGCAGCCACAGACTCGGCCAAAGCAAGCGACCTTGACTGCATTCTCGAAAAAATCTCGAGGCGGTCATAATGATAGGATGTTCATGAATGGCTTTTCATGTATTTCATGATTGATGGGTCGAGTTATGATACATTTAAAGATGATTGGTAAATATGTTGACAGTGTAGCGCATGTTTTGTGTATTTAACTGTTATTATAAAATTCCTACAACTGTACATTAATGTTTGAACATTTTAGGATGTTTTTTGTGAATGATATTATTACCACGTTTTTCTTAGTTTCCTTTCGTCTCTGTCTGTCTTCAAAAATTAAAACCTTAATTTAGAGCACTTCTGAAGATCCTAGGAACTTGAAATTTGGCATGCATGCTTATGCTGCCTAACAATTCAAGATTTGATCACCAGAAGTAATAATTAAAAATTTTTCAGATTTAAAAAAAATAAAAACCCTAAAAATTCACGGTTGGGAAATGCCTTTTTTTTTGTTGAACATCCAGAGTTGCCAACCCTGGAAAATGATTTGAATTGCTAAAATTGCTAAACTAAAAAGTAGAAAATAAATAAATATAAAAAAAAAAAACATTTTTAAAAACCACGTTTTTCTGGTGGTTACAAAACTAAAAACAATGAAATAATACGAATACAAAAACTTTTAAAAACCACGTTTTCTTAACGGACAAAAAAGAAAAACATTAACTCTTACATAATATTACGTAAGAATTCTTACGTTATGTAAGAATTACTGTTTTTATTTTTGTCCGTTAAGGAAACGTGGTTTTAAAGTTTTTTATTTGTTTTATTTCATTGCTTTTAGTTTTGTAACCACCAGAAAAACGTGGTTTTTAAAAATGTTTTTTTTTTTATATTTATTTATTTTACAACTTTAACATGATATAAAATACGTACGCTTCTAATAATGATGTGAACATTTGAAGAAGTATTCGTGACTGATATTTTACAACTTCAACATGATATATATTTACGTACGTTTCTAATAGATCTACCATAGAACATTCGTTATTGGACAACTCGAAAACGCCTCCATTGAATAAATTGTTCGAACGCAGTATTTGCAGCAGAGCTCAGTTACCTTTTACAATCAAACAATAAAGCAACACTACAAGGCGGTTAGCGAGAACTTCTGAGCAGTTGTGAAAATGTATACTTATTTGTCTATGAAAAGTTCAGTTGCTCATATAAATAACTATTGAATCTCGTGCGGCGACGACGCAACTAAGGACACCCCAGTGATGATAGACAAGCTAACGCAGAAATCTCAACGTGGCAGATGTCTCACTGTGACAAAAACTGGGGGCCGACACGAGTGCGAAAGCAATAATGACGTTCATTTTTGGAAGCGTCTAGATAATATCTGCAGAAGTGACTGCTGCCACCAAGATGCGAATAAAAAGCTCTATAAAAACATAGCTCCAACACTCAAGACTTGGGGAAGCATGAGATGAAGAGTATTTAAATCACACGGACATGCGCTATACTACGGGTAGTCGCTTGCCTGCCTTTGATGGAAGAAACTGCTGACGAAGAAAAAATACCGTGCTTGATTAATTGACGGAAAGCGTCTGAGATACGGAATAGGCTCGAACAAAGGCTTTCTAATTTTATCTGCGGACGAATATTGTGCTTATGTTGCGACGAAGACAATTTTCTTGTAATGTTGGTTCAAACTGTAAATTACCTTCCTCAAAATGAAATACAATTCTGATTTCTGAAATTTATATCTTCAATCTGAAATTCCTTGCTGCTGTGACAACGGGGAGCAAACGCTTAAAACGGACTACCAGATAATACATTCTACATTCGTTATATATATATATTTTTCTTACGAAAATCAAGGTTATCTTACCCTTGATTTAGGGGATTAGAAAAGCGCACAGAACGTAAACATATAGCCATATCGCTGTTGCGATAAATCTTTTCGCTGAAGAATTTGTGAATAGCTACATTCATACGTTGCTGTGATAATAAGCCGCCGGATTCATTCAGAATTTTTACACTGCGATATTTTTACGTCGCAGTGCTCTCATACGGGAGGCTTTTCGGTTTAAAACTGCAAGGCAAGTTAAGCGCTGAAGTAGTTGCATTGTAAACCGTCATCGGCAGATTGAATAATATCTTTTGCAAGTAAGTGGCGAGTGAAAATTATGTTTCGCAGTCTCCACTCTCTCAATGCGTTGGCGTGATATTTTAAATGAAGTAAAAAAATGCTACTTTACTCTAATTATCGATCTAGCTGAGCCAACTTACATTCTAAAAGAAAAAAGTGTTTATTTTAAGGCCAGTATTTTCAATCAATGATGAAATATGTCAATGTTCGTAAAATTTGCAAAGTCTAAGCAATTGAAATCTCGTTGTGAAGGTTTGGGTACATGCTTCTTTATAAGAGTTTCAACACAATATGCGTGAATTAAAATCTCTCTGAAAAGAGTACTTTTACGCTCACTATGCCAGCGCACGGAACCATGCAGGATGTTCCCACATCCACGTCTGCCACAGTACCGGAATTATGGATTTTTTAGAGCTCGGATCCCCACGCCGACCTGAGAGCGGTCATGCGGGAATTTCACTTTCAAAATTCACTCCCAGCTGACATAGACGAAATAAAAACATGGTATTAAAGCCATATCTTTACGCGCTCATTTCAAGAACGCTCACAATATCAGCAAACGAAATTTAACGCGTCAGTCAGTATTCTTTGGCGGGTTTCGCGCCGAACGAGTGAACGCGTTTATAAAGAGATCAATAGTCGATGAATCATGCGTTTACAACATTTTTAATGATCTTCAGAGCAGCTACTAAAAGCCATTTCAAGTTTTCATGAGGAAACGAAAATTTAAAAAATTCTAAAGTAGGCTCCAGTTTTAACATCAATTTTGAGTAGTAACTAAAGGCCATGTAACTGAAAGGACTTGGGGGACTTGCAAAGGGGGGGACTTGCAGAGAACACGTGTCCCGGTTCACTGCACATAACGAGGAAGTTGCTATCAAATATACGCCTGTGACTTGTTGAACAAGTGTCGTGATGCATGCTGTAGTTCACAGCTCAATACGCTGTCCACACCTGTCTTGCTGATAAGTCTCATGCGAGGTCACTGTGTGCTAAGCTGAGAAGAGCTTAATCCACCTGACGTTAAAATGTAGCACAATCATGAATTATATTCAGTACTTGTGCAAGATTTGAGCTAGCGACCTTTGAATTTGACAGTAAGGATAAAATCTCCTTTTTAATATTTAAAATCTCCTTTTGAATACTTTTATAAACGGAAGATAATGCAGATGCACTAAATTTATGCAATTGTTTCAGTTTCTTGCCTGCAATGTTATATTATAAATGTGTTTAAAATTACGTAACGCCTAATTTTGAAGGAGATTTTGACACTAGAGCCGCCTAAAACTTTTGCCGCAATTATAATATGTTAAACACATAGACATGTTAAACACATTCAACATAAATAAGTTCGTTACACCTCACAGACTAGAAATGTTTGAAATTTCGTCAAACGTGATCAAATGCGTACTTTGATTGGTTGCTCGGATTTAAATAATGCGCTATGTTCTCAATTCATTCATTAATATAAATGAAGAAGTTCTCAGCATGATGACATTGTAACTTGAGGCAATATCATGGAAGTGACAGGATGAGCAAGCAATCAACAAACGTTAACAAGGCGCGGATTGAGGTAGCATTCCGCTGAGATTGTCGTTGAATCAATGCGTTCATCGGACAGAAGAAAATAAGAGATTTGCGGAACATCTACTCGACAGAATGAGGGCGAGACTTAAAGTCGTACTGATAAATGCTCTAACTGTGTCGTGACTTGCCGAATGCGCGCCACACACGTGGAATTTGTGCAACAAAGAACATAGACAATTCGATGTCAAGCAGGTGACTGCAAAAACCTAAAGCTATGTTACAAATAAATTGCTGCTTAGCCTGTACTAGCACAGCACCAAACATCTGAAGTGGCCATTAAAGTCACAATTTATGGCTATAACGGAAGCAAAAAATCAGAATCGAGCACACGTTGAAAAAGATTTCAGAGGAACGTACTCACCTGCGGATAACGTCTAGAGGATGCAGAAATGCTGTGAAGTTCTTCGCCGTCTCGCCTCGCAATCCTAGTTGGGTACTGCTGGTTGAAATCAGGGATAGGGTTCGACTGCTGCAGTTCTTGCAACCGTTCCACTTCTTGACATGAGTAGAACTTCCTGTCGGACGGCTGGATGTGGTGAGGCTGATGAAGTTGATTATAATTTTCAACGTAACGGTCTTGTTGTCTGACGGCTTGATGGTGGTATTGATGCTGCCGGTGCGGTTGAGGCTGTTGTGGTTGCGACTGTACTTGAGGATGATGCTGGTTGCGATGATGATGGTGATGATGATGATGATGACTGCTAGTCGCCACACACGCCGATCCTCTGGTAGTGGCGCAGGTGGTAATGGTGGTGGTGGCAATGGTAGTGGTGATGGTGGTGGTGCTAGGGAGGCTCTGCAAGGAACGACTTGCCATCCCTGGGCCACGGCAAGCGTTCACGCAGTCTGCGGCGTACACCACCTGTGTGAACACGCATTGTTACTGTGTGAACACCAAGTTACTGTGTGAACACGTACTATTGGTTGAAAATATATGGTTACTGTGTGAAAATACATTGTTAGTGTTTAAATGTTCACAGTTACTGAGTGCACAAACACCATTACTGTGAAAACACGCATAACGCAGCATTACTGAGCAGATAGTCATGTTAATGTGTGATCATACATCGTTACGGTGGGGACACGCACAATTACTGTGTGGACAGACGAGTATCATTACTATGTGTTTATGATCTGTAAAAAATTAGTGAAACGTACGTGAAAGAATAAATAGTGATGTATTCATCACCTATATGAAGAAGCATACTAGAGAATTCATATTGTGTAAAATCCAATAGCGCTGTTCACACAGGTTGATGAAATGAATATCAGTGTTTCACTATTATATTATAAGTCACTATTATAATAAATCAACTCTTTTTAAAGATACACCGATGGACGCACTTTTTGATGCAAATACACTTCCAGCTTATTCAAACCCAAAATATGTATGTACAAACACATGACATTAAAATTTGTCATAAAACGTACCTACGTGACATATTCACGAACGTATGATACAAAAACAAACGACACGTAAAATGACATACAGTTTCGGAAAGGAAATGAACTGAAGATAACATGAGTGAATGAATTTTAGCAATGAACTCAATATCGTTAAAAGATCAAAAGAAGGACAGATGAATCAGCGTTTGGTCATCGAAAAATAAAGACGTCGTGGCTTGTTAGCTGAAAAAACAAACACAACGTCGTGTGTTCACAGAAAAATGAAAACGACGTTGTGTGTGTTCACAGTAAAACGAAAACGACGTTGTGTGTGTTCACAGAAAAACGAAAACGACGTTGTGTGTGTTCACAGAAAAACGAAAACGACGTTGTGTGTGTTCACAGAAAAACGAACCCGACCTGTTTTGTTAGTAGAAAAATGAGCACGAGGCCGTGGGCTAGCGACAAAACGAAACTAGACATCGCAGGTTGGCTAAAATTCTTTAATTCGTATTTAAAATTGAACCGAAAACGAAAACTTGGCAATTTGTTAGCAAAAATTTGATCCCGCCTCTGTGCTTAATCATGAATGCGAACCTGACACAGGTCACAGGTTGTTGTGGTAAAATGACCATTGCGATTTGCGGTCGCAAAAAATGAATACGACGGCGTATGATTACAGTAAACCGAAAAAGACGTTGTCTGTTCACAGTGCAACGCTCTGGACACCGTTTATTAACAGAAAATGACCCCGACGTCACGTTTTGACAGAAATGTAAACACAGCGGCGGATATGTTCGCTAAAACGAGTCACACTGTGTTGGCAGCAAAGTAACACGACACCGCGTGTTCACATAAAAGCAAAGACAACGTCGCATGCCCACAGGAAAGGAACACGGCGTCGTGTGTTTGCGGAGAAGCAAACACGACGCTGTGTGCTTAGAGAAAAATGAGAATCATATGTAGGCAGAAAAACAAACAACGATTTTGTGTGTTCGTAGAAATACGAAAGAATAGCAATGTGCTGACACAAAATCGACCACGACGCTGAGCGTCCTCATGAAAACTAGCATTACACAGTAGTTAACAGTAAGACGACCACTGCCTTCAGTGTACACAGAAAAGCGAATAAAGCGCTGTGTGTTTGCAGTAGAACAAAAACGACGTGGTGCCGCAACAGCAAAACGAACACGAAGCAACGTGTTAATAGATATATGAATAAGTTTCCTTCACACAGCGCACGGAGTAAATGAAACCGAAGACAATCCAAAGCAAAACAGTTGCAAGGAGATCGGACGACGTCAAGCACGATGGAGAGCGTGCAAATTTTAACACATGTGCCAAGCTGCCGTGTAAATCGCACAGCTTTGAAGCAAGGAATTCTCATTCTAAGATACTATCAGCATTAATTAGACCATCTACAAAAAAGAGACATGAAATTAACAGAATTTTTCCTCATACTACTAGATGACCTTGATTAACTTAAGTTAAAATTGGCTTCAGACTCAAATTCACGTTCGATCTCGAAACGGGAAAGCGAGTCTCGTTTATAGGAACATTGTGAGCATAGAATATGAAAATAACTCAAAAATACATAATAATGAGTACTGTAAATTAGCGATGAATTGAATAAATAAAAGAAAGAAGCAATTTAAAACAAATAAATACTGAATAAAACAAAAATGCAATAAATAAATCACAACACTAATAAATAAACGGCAAAAAACGAATTTTCAGGGGAAAAAGTAACTAAAAGTTATTGTCGTATGATAATTACCAGAGATGACAAAACGTTTAGGAACAAAGATCGATAGCCAACAGTGCAACACAGGACAGAATAGTCTGGACGCGAAGGTGGCAAAAGCACAAGTGTTTGCAACAGTCGTGACCTGAGAAGACGCTTTGCAAGTTTGCACAAGAACTGGAGAAACAGAACGGTAAATAAAAAAAACAGCAGACAGACGCTCGAACAAATTCTGAACACTTCGCATTTTTCATATCATTGAGAATATTCGTTAGCTGTGCAACAGATTTTAGGTGAAGATGAAACAAACATAAAGACATTTCAGCCTAGTATCTTCGTTTTTACAGAGAAATACTACAGCTATATATCCATTTATTTTCTTTTCAGAGGCCAAGGGTACATATTCTTTCAATGGAGATTGGAGAGGAAGAGAAGAGGTAAGAAGAAACACGTGACACATAATGCAAGAAAATGTGAGGCACAACACACCTTAAGGCGTCAATGCGCGGTCAATGAAACTTCATGTGAAACAAATTGAGGAACATGACAATTTATGCCTGGCCGAGCACATTATGCTCGGCAATGCGGGGCACATGTCACGTTATGGTCGGCAATGCGAGAAACATGTCACGTTATGGTCGGCAATGCGAGAAACATGTCACATTATGGTCGGCAATGCGAGGAACATGTCACATTAGGTCCGGCGATGCAAGCTCACAAGACACTCGCTGCATGGCTGACCATTGAAAGCACCAGCCATTTAAAAGCACAGTGCGGCAAAGCGCACGACACTTGCAATACGAGGCAAGGGCTTCTGTGCGAGTAACAGGGAAGTTCTGGAAATTAAGAAGATCATGTCAACTAACTCGCCAAATATCCTATTGTCTGGTTGAAATCAGAATGATTTTGGTAAATTCATTCAACTAAATTAACTTCCACGAATCGAAAATAATAACCATGAAATTATGTAATATTATGTCACAGAATGCTCAATTGGAATCCATTTCGCAATAAATAACTAGATCGCTTGCAACTTGTGAATGGCTTGGACGTCTCATTTTCTGATCCGCCATAAATATTCTCAAGAATTCGATAAGACCGAGGCTAGGCGGCCGCCCCGCGAGGGTCATTAGGTACGAAGTCACCTTGACTGCAACGCCACACTGCAAGGAGCGCAGCCACACGCAAGGCCCACCGCTCCACCGCAGACCTACATCGTCTGTCAGCGAAAAATAGAACAGGAAAGTTTCCTAAGGGCTCTCCTAAGAGGGCATGCAGCAGTCAGCTGAAGGTCGGGCGGTCTGGCCGTCTGGGCGATCTCTTGAATGTCGGTGATGTACAACGATCATGTAAACATCGTTGATGTGCAACGATCATGTAACCATCGTTGATGTACAACGATCATGTAAACATCGTTGCTGTGCAACGATCATGTGAACATCGTTGATGTACAACGAATATGTAAACATCGTTGATGTGCAACGATCATGTAAACATCGTTGCTGTGCAACGATCATGTGAACATCGTTGATGTACAACGATCATGTAAACATCGTTGATGTACAACGATCATGTAACCATCGTTGCTGAGCAACGATCATGTAAACATCGTTGATGTACAACGATCATGTAAACATCGCTGATGTACAACGATCATGTAAACATCGTTGCTGAGCAACGATCATGTAAACATCGTTGATGTACAACGATCATGCAAACATCGCTGATGTACAACGATCATGTAAACAAACAACATCGCCATTTGCATATAATATCAGGGGGTCCAGCTGCTGCGCATGTGAAGTCCGTAGTCGCGGCAAAAAAATTAACACGTCAGTTGAGTCTCAAACCATACCAGGAAGCGCTGGCAATCGTATGTAACTCTCCCAATTGTAGAAGTGTAATGTGAAATTACGATTATCATAAATTTTCGATAACCTTATAACAGCTAATCACGAGGAGTTAACTTTCTAGTTGTATTAGTTGCTACTCGAAAAAAATAGTACTAGTGGTACCGATATACAATATTATTAGAAAATCACATGGGAATACTTAGAAATAACAGGAAAGAGAGAAGAGGGGGAGGAGGAGATGGGGTGACATAGTTTGTTTAGTCTGATGAGGTGTCTAGACAGGAGGACCCAGGAGGAGGAGGGGGGCGATGGACAGGAAGGGGGGGGGGCTATGTTGCTGATAACAGCGAGCTCGCACATGATAAGCAGCACGCGTACGCCCACCCAATAACAAAACTATACAAGAACTGAACACTGATTCTCGTAGCTATGATACCATTGGTAATGTCAAACTAAACAACGGAGGGAATGAAACTAGATTTAACTGCCGTTAACTAATGGCCACAGTGAAAACTTTGATAATGCAGTGAGATGTCGGAGCTTACAAGTTTTGGGTGCGTGCACCATTTTTTACAACCTCTAGCCAGCTAAGAGCGAGTCATGGCGCAGGTGTCACGGAATCTGTTCTAAAGGCACATGAACACCACAAGTGAAAAGCACAGATTACTCAACCAACTGTGGTTATTGTTCGTACCCAATTCTCGTATGTTCGTACCTGATCATGAGTGACCTGGAGACATGGCTATACCACTAACTGCTTATACCCACCTGCTTATACAATAGAACAACTTAGGATTAACTTTAATTAGTAAGTGAAACTTCGGCCCCTCATTAATGTACTTAACATATTTTTATTCCTCCTTTAAAACATCATTTCAA